CATGAGAGACCATGAGAGCACATGAGAGACCATGAGAGAACATGAGAGAGAACCTAACAGAACATGAGAGAATATTAGATTCTATGAGATTGGAAAAAACAACCAAAACATACCTACACCAAAATATGAAAATATAGCTAGCTCAAAAATGTTGTGGGCTGGACAGCCCCAGTGGGCTATGCAGCTGAAAGTGTGGCAGGTGTTAGCTCTCAAGCTCTTTGCATTCAGCCCTTCAGGCAGCCTAGTGATGAAGAGACCAGCTGCTGACACAATGAAGAGGCCAAGTGCTGCTGACACCAAAAGAACCAAGCATGAGGCAAAGGAAGAAGAAGTGGAAGAACAAAGGGAAGAAGAAGAAGAAGAAGAGAGCCTCCCTCTCACTGAGTCAGCCCTCAAAGACCACACCAAGTTTATGGAGGAGGTTGGAAAGCTAGATGAAAAGCCATTCTCTCTGGCTTTTTCCAAGCTACCTGAAAAGCAGCAACAGTGCTTATGGAAGAAATTTGAATGGAGTCGCAGAGCTGTGGACCTGGACAATGCATACAAAAGAGAAACACAAGGGAGTGGGTCCATGGTCAGGAAGAGAAACCTTTTGAGGTCCTGGGCACTTGATGGAGGGAAGTGTGACAAGATCTTTAGGAAGGCAATGCAATCCATTGCCTTGGAGAAAAAGCATGGGGTAGAAAAGGAATGGTATTCCAAGAAGAAAATGGAAGATGAACTGGGGGTGGAAGAAATGACTGCTCGCCTGAAAGCTGGGACTCTCAAATGGAGAAGGAACCCAGAGGACACCAGGTTCTTCCAGTTCCAAAAGCTGGCAGAAAAGGAGGCCACTATGCTCACCAAAGTGAAAGGGGGCAGCAGGGAAGTGAAGGGCACAGCAAGCAAGGATGAACAGCTGGCTTTCGACCACCTGACGCTGGAAGATCTCAATGAAGATGACTTTGTCCTGGGGCTAGGGGATGGTGAGGAGGAGGAGGAATTTGAGGGGATCAACAAGGACCTGGCCAAGGCCATGGGCCTCAAGAACAACAAAGACCCCAAGTCACCAAAAAAGGACAAAGAAAACAAATGGGCTGCGCTCAGCCAAGTTGATGAAAGTGATGGCAAGAAGCAAATCAACCAAAGGGTGATGAAGTTCAAGACAGAACTTACAAAGGACTTGGCTTCACTGGAGGCAGGGGTCTTCAGTTTGAGAGAGCAAAAGGGTGACAAGGCCTTAGTGAAAGCTGTGCTGGTAACCCAAGAACAAGCAAAAAAGGCATTGAAAGTGGTCACTAACCTGCTGGCAAGTAAAAGTGGAAAGAGCAGTGTCGCATCTGGTCTCTCAGAAGCTTTGGCTGCCTTGAAAGGCTGCAAGGCCAAGAAACTCCAGTTGGCCAAAGCGCTGAAAGCTTAGCTACAGTGGTTCTGCTGCCTTAAGCCTTTTGGCTGGGCTGGTCTAAAGGATCTAGCCAGGGCTGGACAGCCCAGACCAGGTTTTTGAAAAAAGGGAGAAAAAGCGGGGCTGGATAGCCCCACTAAACAACAGGCCCCCATGTCACTAGTTGGATGCAGCTGGGCTGGATAGCCCCACCGAACAATGGGCTGGATAGCCCCATGTAACTAGTTGGAAGCAGTTAAACAATGGGCTGGATAGCCCCATGTAACTAGTTGGAAGCAGTTAGGCTGGATAGCCCCACCACACATTTAATTTCACTACAGGCATTTGGGCTGGATAGTCCTATGTCATTTGGCAAGCCCACTTTGCCTAGTGGAGGAATTGGCTCAGGACCTTTGAAGGTGGAAAAATGGAAGGTCTTGAGCCATGCCCCTTGTGGACACTTCTGCTGAGGAAGTATGCCTTAGGCAAGCTATCAGCAGTTGAAGTTCAGGAGTTTGCCTCAGCTGCTTGGATGCACCTGAAATGCAAGCTCTCCAGAGGCTTGGCTCTATGGGGGCAATCCCAGGAAATATCCACTGGGATTTACAGAGGAAATATTTTCACAAATTAGTTGCACCAGCTCCCTGGAAGATCACCACCAATATGCTGATGAAGGAGGATGGTCAAAGGGTGTCAAAAACTACAGAGTGCCATGTTCTGCTGCCTCACAGTTGGGCGCTGTCCTTGGAAGAGGGTGACCTCTTTTGAAAAGGTGATGTGCAAAGACAATGACTTGGTTCAGTTTTGGAAGACCCAAAAGCAGAATCCTCAAATGTCGAGTGACATGTGGAGGAGCCTCGACTTCACAAAGCCTTCTCAGCTTCCAGTGCCCTATGTGTTGCATGGGGATGGGGCCCCATATACTGAGATAGACAGCCTCCAGGTCTTGTCTTTGAGGATGCTTGCATTTGACAAGCATCATTTGTGAGTGCTCTTTGTTTTCAGTGTTTTTCTGAATGAAAGCAATCAAACCTTTGATCAATGTGCCAAGCCTAGGTGCATGCTATCATCCAGGTCTGTGTGTTCTGTGGAGCATTATCAACCAGTTGCCTGGCACCAACAGAGCCTCAGCATGTTTGAAGTGTTTTTTTGACAAGCGCCCCTTGGGTTGGGCAGCCCAATGTCACACTTGGGCTGGAAAGCCCCATGTAACACTTGGGCTGGACAGCCTAGATTTGAGACATCCTGCCCAGGAGAAGCAAACCTGTTGAGCTTGAACAGGCTCTTGGTCAGGTTGTATGATGACCAGGGTGTGCCTGCCTCCAACAGAATGAAGCACCTCACCATGGCTGATTTAGGGGGTGGTGGTGATTCTTATCCATGCCTGAAGCATGCCAAGGTCAGAGCTTTTTCGCCAGTATGTGTGGCCCTTTGCAAAATGTACCAGGAGGACAGGCATGGAAAGCACAGGCTGGCAATGGTGGTGGCCCTGGACAAGGCCTACAAGATTTTGGGGAAGACATGGCAAGAGTGGGATGGGGAGGCAAAGAAAGATTTCCAGGTGGCCATGTGCACCTTCCTAAGCCATTACAGTTGGCTGGCAGAGGACAGCATGCATGCAGGCAGGAATTTGTACAGCTTGGTGCAAAAACACCACCTCCTCTGCCATTTGAGCACTACTGTGGGTGAATATTTCCACCCTTCATTGGCCCACACTTATGGATCAGAATCTTTCATGGGCATATATGTGTGCGCATGGGGTCCTCTTGTACCAGGGGGACACCAGGGCACAAAGTGCCACTGAAGATCTTAGAGAAGTTCAGGCTAGTGTTTCGCCTCTTTTTGGAGGGTCACATCACTATGGAGATGGAAGCCATGGATGAGGAGTAAAAATTTCATCTAGAGCTGGACAGCCCCAGGACATCATCGGAAGCTGGGTACCTATTTTTAGGGCTGATAACCTAGTCTGAGATTGGGCTGGATAGCCCCATGGCTATAGGATCCCTAGCAGGAAGATTGGGCTGATAACCAACATGCATGCACTGTGGTTTGGGCTGGATAGCCCCATGTAAATAGATAGGAGCATGTGGGCTGGATAGCCCTGATGCAACCACAAAAAACCTTTTAAAAACGATTAAATTTTCGATTGAATTTTCGATTGAATTTTAAAGGTGTGAAAAGATTGTTTTTCAATTGATTTTTGAACAAATTCAATCTTCGATTGAAAAATTCAATCTCGATTGAATTTTTTCAATCTAGGATGCTTTGGGTTGGCAGACATCAGTGCTACCCCAAGAGCTCTCGAAGCCGCTACTCTTACCTTAGCGATCTCAAAGACACACTATATCACCAATTGCGTAGTAGCCGCCTTTCCGCGTAATGGTTGCAAGATGGGCAAGCTTTTGGTTGTATGCCAAAGCAGATTCCACACTATTAACCCGGCAGGCGCCACGTGTTTCAGGGTTTGCTTCCAAAATTGTTGTGTGCAAAGCTGACTGATCAGCAAACATCACATTCAGGTTGCTTCCAGTTGTGTATGATTGTAAGTCCTTGAAGCTCTCCCACGTCTCAGGAACAAGTTTGCCAAAGATTGACAAATATTTGGACAGCGATTCTTTGAATGTTGGACGTCTCAAATCAAGATTGATGGCACGTCTAAGGTTCCCTAAGCATCCTCGATTGAAAAATTCAATAGATCGATTGAATTTTGAGCAAATTCAATCTTCGATTGAAGATTGAATTTTGAAACTAAAATTCAATCTTCAAACTATTGCATTCGATTGAATTTTCGATTGATTTTTCGATTGATTTTTCACATATAGATGTTGAAAAGAAAAATGTGTAAATTGACCTAGTCGAACAAGCTTCAAAAGTTAAAGCAAAGAAATGGCTAGCATTGGGCAGCCCCAAGTAGATATGAGCAGTTATGGCTGGAGAGCCTATCCTTTTTGGGCTGGACAGCCCATGTCATTTTTGGGCTGGACAGCCAAAACATGAACCTTCCTGTGCAGGTTGTCACCATGTCCAAGAAAAAGGGTAGGGGTGGTGCTAGAAGGAACAAAGTTCCTGAGGTGGATGAGGAGCACCTCTTAGATAGTCTTCTGAGCCATGCCAGGAAGCTTGGAGGGCATGCGTTTGTCATGGGGAAATATTGGAAGCTGGAAACTTCCCAGAGTGTGAAGGGTGACTCTATGGCAGATTTGCTGCCATTGCTGCAGGTGTTGGGATCAGTATGCCCCAGCTTGGAGTTCAAGTACAGCACCCTGAAGAATTGCTACCAGGAGGTCTTGAAGCAGTTCCCTGTCATCAAGGAGATGTTCCAGGTTTCAGGGATGGCAATGCTTCCCCAGAGCTTAGCAGAATGCACCTTGGTAATTTGCAACCATGCCAGGAGGATTGGCAGGGATGACAGCAAGTTTGCAGGGGCCTGTTCAAAGGTTACTACT